AGGAAAGGCAAGCATCACCCAAAGGCCTAAACACATTTACATTCAATATTTAAATAACAGCAATGACCATAATCTGCTCCTCGAACTTTCGGGGTTCAGACATATTGCTTATCTTCCTGGTCTCACACTTCCTTGCCCACCCAAGGTGCGTTTCTGGGGATTCTTCTCGTCCCAGCAATCCTACATGACAGCAGTCATGTCTGCTCAACATGCCCTTATTTGTAGATACAGCAGAAGTTTCCACTGGTGGGCCCCAATTGGAGCTGAGGCAATCAGCTAGAATTTGGGATTGGGACTAAGAAATTTCTGTTTAGGGACTTCCTTGGCGGTCCAGTGGTTAAGATTTCACCTTCCAATGCAGGGGGTGCAGGTTTGATCCCTGCTCAGGGAGTTGAGATCCCACACGCCTCGCGGCCAAAAAAGCAAAACATAAAACAGAAGCAGTATTGTAACAAATTCAATAACGACTTTAGAAATGGTCCACGTCAAAAAAATCTTTAAAAAAAAAAAAAGACATTTCTGTTTAGCTACTCTTTTGAACGGGGGGTATACTCAGAAGCTGATGGCAACTGTCATGTTCCACCATGTGGGCTGGATATCAGAAAACGTCCATCTGTATGTGCAGAGAAGCAGGGGTGAGCAGGGACCTCCTGGGCTCCATTCAGTCTTCCAGTCCCTGGCTTCAGTGGAGGCCTGACACCCTGCTGCATCCCTACCTTTGCGTTCATTCCAAAAGTCAACCCCAAACCTGCACCTTCTATTAAATTCCTCTTTCCTGCCTAAACTAGCTGAAGAGGATGTGTTACTTACAACCAAAAGGGCCCTAATTAAAACTGTTAACAAAGTCATTCTCTGGGTACCTTTCCTCTCTGCTTCAGTTCACCTCGGAGATTGAATTCACCTTAAAACTTCATCCTAGCCAAGTTACCTGCTTCTAAATATCTCTGCACTAAAGCCCTTTCTTACGTAGGTGATTCCCTGAACCCTACATCACTATGTATTCCAAATCCAGGACCTGCCTGGATTCCTCTGCAAGAGGCAATTATAATTTATATTTCTCTCCAAGACTAGGTGGGGATAAATGAATATAAATCAGAAATGAACATAAATCGATGCAGTTTCCCTCTGTGAGCACAGAAAAAGGAAAACCCATAGATGTGTTTTGAATCAAGGTCTAATGTGAGGTTTTATTTACCGTGTTAGATCAATTTAAATGTTTAATTTTTCATTAATGTTTCTGAATAGCTCCAGCTTTCCAGCTACTTATTTTTTGTGGGATTCATCTTTTTAAATGGCATTCTTATCTACTACTTCTTGGTTCAACCATACATGTGGTACATTTTACATATGCATGACCGAGGTAGAAGAGGGCATTTCTTTGTTTCTTTGAGCGTAGCTACTTCTCTTTTTTTCTTTATTGAGGTATAGTTGATTTACAACATAGCTACTTCTTTTAAAGCACAACAGAGACAGAGCAGATAAAACTTTGGGTCACTTCGAGCATTATGTCACATCTGTGATAACACATTTGTTCTATAAATTTTCACAGTCACTAGACGTTGCAAAACCAGAGATTAAGACTGACTTGATTCTCTTAGTCTATCTGATGTTACCTAGCCTCTCTATTGGACTTCAGGATCTTGGCCTCCTTAAATCAAGCCTTCTGGGAATTATCTTTGGCAAATATACACTTAGCAGAAAAGTCTGATTATCTTGGCTTTCTCATGTCAAGTAACAACAGGTAGTCCCAGACACCCAGTGGTTTCCTTAGAGTGGGTTGCTTTCTTTATGGTAATCAATTTACTTGGCCCAGCTGTCAGGCACTTGACTGCCCAACTGACAACTGGAAATAGGAAGGAAGAAACCTCAGATTTTCCTAAACACACAGTTAATGAAAAATTTCACCTGGTTGTTAACGCATCTGTGTTTTTCCCATAAAACATAAATGTTAATTTGGAAAACAATATGCCTACAGAGGTTTCTCCACCTAGGAAAGTTTCACCTGATATTTCACCTGGCCATGTGCCCAACATCCATCGTGAAGGAGTTAACATAAATTAATTTAAAACCGGAAATGAGGCAGCCAAGTTGTTGACTAGTTTCCTCTTGTTAATTCAAGGAAAAGATGAAAGGGCCTAAACTACGACAGGTCGTAGCATTGAATCTCAAGGAAATAAGTAAGAGAGATGAAAAGTCCTCTTATTCCAAATGGTAGTTATTCTTTGGGTCAAAACTGAAAGAAGGAAGAAAAATGTATGATAATGCATGGGGCGCACTTTTCTCACCTAGCTCTTCCTAACCATATGGATTTTCCCCAGCAGGACAGAAGACCATAAATGAAAATTAGCAAGGCAGGGACTCCCACCCACAGGAATACCTGCATCAGGGCTTTGGGGTATTAGACGGGGAGCAGCCCTGACTACCTGCACAGATGCTTTGGGAAATGCATGACTACTCTTGTCTATACAGAGACAGGAAATAGCATGGAAAGGGGGGCTTGAAGACACTGACAGGTCCTTTCCTCAGATGGCTTTCAGGGCATAAACATGGAAATTGTTAAAATTATAACTTGAGGAAAGACAGCATAGGTGGTTTTTTCCTAACATCTTCCTTCTTCCAAGAGCACCGATCCACCCGTGATTAGAAACCCTAATATCCACTTTAAACCTAATAAAGGGTGAGTCCCCTTTTACCTTGCAGCTTCAGAATGAAAAGACATTTGTGTTTTTTTAAGTCATATTCCTATTTTTAGGGCTGACTTGGAAACTTCTTCGCAGTTTAGTGACCACAGTCTGCTAGACTGTCGAGGTATGAAGTTCCAAGGGCAAAGCGCTGACTGAATGAATTCCATAGCCCTGGATGCCTTCTGACTAGACCACAAGCATCTAGAAGGTAGGGTCTGTGATGCATATTTCTTTGACCTAAGTCAAAGCATACGGAATACTGGAAAATTTTTTCAGGGCAAAACAATACTTTTCTAGGTCTTCAAACAAGTTTTCATTTCCACAGCATGAAGCAGGGCAGATGCCCTTTGGAAACACGACCATGTCATCCATTCAACTATTGCCTTTCTTGTTTTGTTTTTGTGTTTTGTTTTTCTAATTTTTGGTCACGCCACACACCTTGCAGGTTCTTAGTTCCCTGACCAGGGATGGAACCCGTGCCCTCGGCAGTGAAAGCGTGTTGTCCTAACCACCGGACAACCAGGGAATTCCAGATTCAACTACTGTCGAACCCCACAGCACGTGTACTCACTAACGCCCAACATAAGCATTAAGAAGAGCCATTGCTGACCACAAATATCATTAAATGTGCGTGGCTGCCTAGCCATAGTCTATTTTGGGAATCTCTTATTACCTAGGAAATGATTTCATACTTCATTGTCTCAAACTGCATCATCCAAAAGGACCAAGATAAAATGTTTTCCTTCGAGAACATCTTTCCTGAAATCTCATTATTGCATATTATCTTTTGGTGCCACCCTAGCTTCCTCTGCTCACAATGCTGGCTGCACAGTAAACTCTGAAATAGAAATACTGCACACTGGAATCTTACCACCAGGAGGGGATAGGAGTCACTGTTGGAAGAGCATGAAAGTCTATGTTATGGGAGAAGCATTAGAGAGCTGTGTAACCTCTCTGAATTGACTGGAAAACCAACAGACAGATTACTGTATGTCACCAAGACCTTTTGCCACAGGAGGGAGGGTTCAAAGTATGTGGGCTCGAACATCATTTTTTTAAAACTTGCAGCTTTTAGCAATTAGCACAATCTTGCTAGAACCCCCATTTACATAGGAGAAGCTGCGTTATCACTGCGAAGTTTAGAAAAATGGGGCGACAAGGTGACAACCGTATTATGCTTTATCTGTAACAAATCATGTCCCCCGGAGGTTCCAGTGTGTTTTAAATTAACATCAAAGGAAAGAATTCTTCACCCCACCAAATGGCAAATACAGGAATTTCAACTGTTCTAATACAACAGCCCTAAGTAAATAATTATTAATTTCTTACTTTCCAACCTACTGGTCAACCAGAAACACAGAATTGCTGCTGAAATTACACTGGGAAGGGGTCTCCTTAATACATATCTCGCTTTCATCCTCCAAGCACACCAAGTTACAGAACTGAAAACAGCTTTTGATTCATATTAGTATTTTGAGTAGAGTCTCTAGAAATTATTTTTAAGCAGCAGCGAACTAAGGATGGGATATGACTTGGTAAGTACTATTATTTACATAACTTTTCTTTCCATGTTCTTTTTTTTTTTTCTTTCCATGTTCTTAAAGTCATACCTTTGAATTTTAAAACGCACTAAATTTCTATCTGTTCTGAAGGGCATGGGGCAGATAGGAGACGGGGTGGGAAAAAAATCCAAAATACATGAATTTCAAATTATAACCCATTTTGCCAACATTTGATAGGCTGAAATGACATTTAGATACTAATAAAAATTATTTGTTTGCCTTAAGAACTTAGATTAATTACTGTAACATTCCATTATGAGATTTTCTATTTCTAAAATCTTATTGCTACTCTATTGGTAATCACTTCAAGTGCCATCTTAATGGTTTATTAAGTTCAGAAAGATATTTTTAATGGTTCTTAAAGAACATAGTACAAAAATACCAAACAGTGCAAGGTCCTCTATTAGGAAAGAATAGCTATTTTGATCAATTAACAGAAGTTCTTTGAATGTCGTTAGAACCCATTTGAAATTATGACCTACAGCATCTTAGAAAACAGCACTGTTTTCCAACAATTTGTGGGCATAATCAGGAAAGGGGGGGTGTATTTAATAAGACAGGTACACGGCTAACATCCGCAAACAAACTCACACACAACACAGGAATTTTAGCCAAGTAATCCAATCATTCCTGAATTCACTGCAATAATGTGATATTGCCGTCATCGGGCTAATTATAACCCATGCAGGAAGCAGCCCAGGTGGCTTGCAAGTGATGGTATCAGAATGTGAATATTTTAGAAGAAATCAAGTACCTGATAGTTTCATGAGAAGTTCAGATGCTGCTTTGACTGACATATCCCGCCTTAGTACGTTGCCCTTTGCTTCCTGGGGCTTAAGTGTGTCCTCAGAGATGCTCGGGGCTGGCACTTCAGACTCGGGGCTGAACACATAGTTGGACCGAGGCAACGTGGCACTTAGAGCCTCCTCTTCCTTAGGCTCCTCTTTCACTTTAAAATTAAGATTCATGGGCTCCTTCTGATTTGCAGCTGTCAAAAGAAGAAAAGGATTACACACATATACCTGTATGAAAGGCCAGTCCCACTCTTAGCTGTTCCCAACTTAATGAAGTATGTAATGCATGATCATATCTTGCTAACGCAGGAGGGACCACAAACCAATCAAAATAGGCTGAGCCCTGAGCACAAAAATACAAGTCACTCCATGAGCGTGGGACTTAGAAGAGTGCGGGCTTCTGAATCTTCGGAACCTATCATATTTTAGGAAGTGCTGCCTCTACAAAGTGTTTGGGCATTTTCTCTTTGGTTTCCAGTGTCTTCTTTCCTGTATATGCTGCTGCCTCTCTGACCTATTAGCACTCTCCCTACCTAATCCTGTTATAGAATAATGCTTTCAGACAGTTATTCTGCCATAAAATATTGAATATAAACATGAGTCAGAGGCAAAAACCAAAGCAAAAACCTAGAATGCGATGGTCAGGTGAGGATGGAGAATTTGCCAAAGAGAAAAGCTCAGAATGGAGATATAACACTTTTGCCTTATTATAAGCTGATGCCACTGTCCCACAAACAGCGGGGCATGCACTTGGCATTGTCTTTCTGGTTACTATCTGTAGCCCAAGTTATCTCCGAGTCCACAATGGACATTTTTAAGAGAAAAAAATTTTATTTTGGAATAATTTTAGATTTGCAGAGAGGTTGCAAAGAGGGGTCAGGGAGTTCCCATACATCCTTTACTCAGTGGTCCCTAAAGTTAACACCTTACGTAACACCACGGAGCATTTGTCAGAATGAAGAAATTCACATTACTATGATCTAAGATCCAGATTTTATTCAGATTTCACCAGTTTTTCCACTAATGTCCTTTTTCCATTTCTAGCATGGTTGGCTGGTGTGGAGTGTGTGGTCAGGGCAGAGCTAACTGGCCTATTGGGGATAGATTCTTTCTGTGGCTTGGCTACACCTTACCAGGCCTTCACTCACTGAGCTACATACTACTTCCTGGTCTTTCTTGGGAAAAACCAAGAAGGAAGACTAGCAGCCGCTTTTCCCGCTTGTCACTTTCACAGCCATCTTTGCCCCTTTAAAGGGCCACATAGTAGGACCTTTAACTTGGTTAATTTAGGTGTGCTGGTATTTTAAGAAACAAGATCTCATCCTAACATGGAGTTCTTAGAAAAGCTTCTTAGAATGAGCCTTGGGCTTCCCTGGTGGCGCAGTGGTTAAGAATCTGCCTGCCAAGGCAGGGGACAAGGGTTCGAGCCCTGGTCCGGGAAGATCCCACATGCCATGGAGCAACTAAGCCCGCGCGCCACAACTACTGAGCCTGCGCCCTAGAGCCCACGAGCCACAACTACTGAGCCCTCACGTCGCAACTACTGAAGCTCCCACGCCTAGAGCCCGTGCTCCGCAACAAGAGAAGCCACCACAACAAGAAGCCCGCGTACCGCAATGAAGAGTAGCCCGCGCTCGCTGCAACTAGAGAAAAGCCCGCGCACAGCAACAGAGACCCAATGCAGCCAAAAATAAACAAATAAAAATAAATAAATAAATTTATAAAAAAAAAAAAGAATGAGCCTTAAGCCCACTCTTGCTTAACAACAACAACGACAAAAAGGATGAAAATAAAGCCCCAAAGGGTACGCCTATCAACCCCCTGCCCACCATCTACCTCCAGCCAATACAGAGACACAAAGTCCTTTCTTTATACCTTACGCCCTTCTAAGAATATCCCTGCTGGAGTCACAAGTTCACACAGACCAGCATATTTGGGAACTGGACCCCAGAGGGCTAAAGTGACACTTGGAAGTTTTACTATCAAAAAGATGAAGAGCTGAGACTAGAACCCACATGCACAGGCCGCCCACCCGGTGTCCCCTGCCTAGCTCCACTACGTCACTCCTCCATCTCTGGTCCCTGTGTTATAAGAACACCTGAATGGAACTTGACCTTCAAGTCTTTGCTAAAATACCACCTTCTCAATGAAGACCACAACCATCCTGATCAAAACTGCAATGCCCACCCCACAGTACCCGCAGTCCCCCAAACTCTCTTACCCTACTCTAATTTTCCTTTTTTTTTTTTTTAAATATTTATTCATTTATTTATTTGGCTGCGTCGGGTCTTTGTTGCGGCATGCGGGGTCTTTCGATGCCGAGCGTAGGCTCTCTAGGTGTGCCACGTGGCTCCAGAGCATGTGGCCTCAGTAGTTGTGGTGCATGTCTTAGTTGCCCTTCAACATGTGGGATCTCAGTTCCCCGACCAGGGATCGAACCTATGTCCCCTGCATTGGAAGGCAAAGTCTTAACCACTGGACCACAAGGGAAGTCCATAATTTTCCTTTTTATCCAAAATACTTATCACCAGACAACATCCTGTTATGGATTGAATTGTGTCTGCCCCACCTCCCCAAATACAAATGTTGAAGCCCTAACCCTCACTGGGACTGTATTTGGAGATAGGGAGAAAATTCAGTTAAACGAGGCCATTAGGGTGTGGCCCTAATCCAATATGACTGGTGTCCTGAGAATAAGAGAGACACAGAGGATGTGCAAACACAGAGGAAAGACCATGTGGGGACAGAGCAAGAAGGAAGCCATCTTCAAGCCAAGGAGAGGCCTCAGGAGAAACCAAACCTGTCAGCACCTTCATCTTGGACCTCCAGCCTCCAGAACGGTGAGAAATACATTTCTATTGTTTAAGCCACCCAGTCTGTGGTATTTCGCTATGGCAGCCCCAAAGACTAATCCATACTACATAATTTTCTTATTTATTATGTTAACAATTTATGGTCTATTCCTTCAACTCAAAGGTAGGCTTCATGAAGGCAATAATCTCTGTTTTAACGCTGATGTATCTTGAGTGCCTAGAGCTGGGCCTGGCACGTAGCAGGAGCTCAACATATATTTGTTGAATAAATAAAATAGGCTGGTCACAAATCAGTGACATCTGTTGGCACTCCATTATTACCTGTGGTAAACAAAAGCTACGAATCCCAAAATATTCCACCAAAGGCAATCGGAGGTGCTTTCCTCAAGTCTGATCATGAGATTGGGGATAAGACCTTCCAGATAAAGTTAAAAGCTCTGCTACTACACCACAGCGCTTACTGAGGTGTTTCTGAATGATCACTTGGACTCTGGCATTACTAAAGGAGGAACCCAGAAAAATCTCAAGGAAAGTGCTGAAAATCTAGCCCTCTGGGGACAGTGCCATTGGCATCTGAGCCCAAGGGAACAAGGACAGTCTCTAGAGCAATCTTCAAGCATGTATTTTGGACCTCTACAGAAGGTAGCTCCCAAGAGGATTCTGTTTATCTAGCACATTTCTCCCCTTTCAACCACTTCCAGAGGGAGGGAGTCGTTGCTGTCCACCTCCTAAAGCTTCTCTCACCCTAAGCCTTTCTTCCAGAATCCTTCATAAAACCCTTTCCAAGAGCATCCTAAGTTATTCACGATAGAGTAATTAAATGGTGTGCTGTCGGGGACTTCCGTGGCGGTCCAGTGGTAAAGAATCTGCCTTCCAATGCAGGGACACAGGTTCCATCCCTGGTCGAGGAACCAAGATCCCACATGCTGCGGGGCAACTATGCTCACGTACCACAACTACTGAGCTCGTGTGCCTCAACTAGAGAGCCTGCATGCCACAAACTACAGAGCCCACGCTCTCTGGAACTTGTGCGCCATAACTAGAGAGAGAAAACCTGCTAGAGAAAACTAGAGAGACGCCTGTGCGCCGCAACGAAAGATCCCCCATGCTGCAACTAAGACCCAACGCAGCCAAAAAATAAAGAAAAGTTAAAAAAATAATAATAATAAAAAAAATGGTGTGCTGTCTATTAAGTCTTTAATTTTGATTCTTTGGGTAGGAACAATATAAAGTGAATGGTTATATATTTTTAAAAATGCTTCAGGCTTGCATCTTTTATTTTTGAAACTTTAAAAAATTCTAAGGTGAGCCTAGGAAAGAGATAAGAAACTACTGAGGCCCTAGAAGCAAATCCTAACTGCTGGAGAGGGCAACCATGAAGCCAATGCTCTCTGAAGATATAAGTAGCTTCTGGGAGCATTAGTCAGAATATGTGCTACATAAGACTTAAGAAAAAAAAAAAAGATATTTGGCATTATTAGTACAACCCAGATTTAACAGAACTGTAATAAGACACTTTTAAAAAATAATAGGCAAGCTGTATGTTGCTGTCTTATAAACTTGCAAGGTACTTCATACCTGGTTTTCATTCTGACAATGTCAAGAATGGCATAAAACTAGTAATGTGCTAGGGAAATGTAAATATGGCTAATGACATATCAAAAAATACCTGGGAAACACTCATTTGTCCAAGTTTTAGTTTCCAAACATTTGGATCTAAATAGATGATGTAAAACTAGCAATAAGAAGGCTACCCTGCTTTTTTTCAATTACCAGAAATATTTACACTAAGAATAGTGCATAAAGCCCTATATTTTAAAATTAATATGACTGCATAATTGCCATCTTTTTTTATTATCTTAATTTAAAAAATTGTTTTTCTACAGGGAAAGGTGAAACTAAAGTTGTTTTCTCTTTGGGGAAATCGCTAAGAGAAAAGCAGTAATTTATGACTCACTGCCTGGTCTTTACTTCATTCTTACCACTAACAAGAAGATCTGTGCACATATGGAATTCAGTTTGTAAAGGACTTTTCACAGCAAGTACCTTGACTTCCGTTTATGTATCGTCAAGCTTCCGGACACTCCAGTTAACTCAGTGAGGAAGTCCCACTAACCAAGAGGTCCCTTCTCTCACTGTTCAAACATTTTGCAACCTGAGAAAATTATGATTAAAAATTATGTACATCTGTAAGTTCATGTGCTCGATGGAGTTGGGCTGCCAGTGAAAGGAAACAAATCAGCTTTTTCTAAATCAGGATTTAGAAAGGATTCAAGACAAAGGCTAATATGGGAAAGGAACGGGAAAGCCACTGGGATAAAAATGATTCCAAGTTTCTAATTCTAATAGGCCAGCATTAACGAGTTGTAAAAGGAACCGTC